CTCGTCCAGAACAAAAATTTTGGAACAATTCACGAAGTAGTGTGTCTGAGAGTGTATTTTTGAATAAGGTGAAATTACCTTCAGCCATCACTGCCTCTTCTCCCGGATCGTTTTCGACCTTCAGTCGGCGGTCAAAGTTTCGTTTCAGACCCTTAAAAAAAGAGCTCAGTGAGAGAAATAGAACGACGATACGTGAAACACGGAGCCTGGAACACGTACGATACGCGCTCACATTATTTAATATGGCAAGAAAACGATCAAACCACCGAATACCGAAAGAGGTACCAGTCACATCGTGTCCACACACCTCGTAAACAGATGCAGCTAGTAAAACCCGGCTCGGCCAGTTCGGAAAGCGAATTGCAGTGGTAGCGAGGAGGCAGAATAATGTAGCAGTAGGGGGCGGTGGTGGAAGGGAGGGGGGTATTGTTAAATAGAACCACGATTTATTAGAACGTTCAACCGTGAACTGGGCAGTTTAATAAAAAAAAGACCCCCTCCCCTATAGTTTCACCGGGTAAAATTTGGTTTTTTCGAGGGAATACTCTGGCGGGGCAAGGAAGAGGGGGAGGGGGAGGGAGGTGGACAAGCTGAGGCATCGGGAAGTATCTGTTAAATAGAACCACAATCTGTTAGAACTTTGAACCGTGAAGTGGGCAGGTTAATAAAAAAAAAAGCCTCCCCCCTCCTCCCGTATAGTTTCGACGGGTAGAATTTGGTTCCTCTGGCAGAACACTCTGACAGAATATCAAGGAGCAGCACCAAATATCATCATTCAGCCGCATCTCACATTTCTTTTGGCCAAAAAACAAAACTTTTTTTTGGCCAACAGTCCTGTAACTCACACAAAAATCTTATATATTATATCACAAAGATGGAAAATACAGGATAAATGTTAAGAAAAATTTCAACTTTAGTAGTTGCCTAAAAATTTACTATTGGTACCTACTCATCGTAGCCTAAGAATAGCCATATTCAGACATCTCAAAACGGCTAAAGTTTCACTGAAGTGCTTCTGTCGAGAAAGGGAAGGGGGCCGCTAAACGGTGATTTGGCAACCAAAATTCGGCTTGGCTCGGTTGCACAATTCACACTCATTTTTGAGTTCGCAATTTGAGCTGCGAAATTCATAGTACCGGTTTTTTGGGTAGACAAAGTTCCAGGTATCATATTGCTAAATTCCCAGCAATATCAAGTTTCATGCTGAGCACAAGAACTCATGTAGGATCCACTCCCCATAAGCTCTATCTTCGTCCCAAGCCTCTACCT